GCTTTGTAAATCCACGTGGAAGAGAACTCGGAGTAATTTCGTAATGTTTGTTTCACCAGAGGGTGCTTTTAATTACAACCCCCGCTCATTTCACATTAATATCGCTAAGAAATTAATTAATGCCTGCCAACTCAAGGCAATAACAAAGTGTTCAGAATATATAGAAGGACTAACGACATTTAAGACTTACAATCTTGTCGCGTTTAATTTAATATAACTGACATTAATTAACGTGTGGTTATTAAATGAGTTCATTCCTATTAGTATGGAACTAGACATTTAATTATGATAATGAAGATAAATTGATGATGTGATGTATAAAAGACTAGTTTGATACAGTCGGGAAATGTTTCTATGGCAACGATGGAGATTAAGACAATGATTGCGTTTGTCTAAGGACAGATTAGGTTTATTGTCCAATGCCTTTCTTACACGTGATATAATATGTAGCTTCGTTATGTCGGAAAAATACAACATAAACAAAGAATAAGCGGGTAAAAAAAAAATTGTCGGACCAGACAAATAAGATAGTTTTAATGGTGTTAACGAAATCTTATCTGCATGCTTTACACCAAAGGCCTTTGGGAAAGTTTTATACGTCTAGAATATGATAGTTTTAATGGTGTTATTTTTTTGGACAATGACATATTACATGTATCTTTTATATAAAAATAATAAATTTGTATTTATGGCTAAGCTACTATCTAAAGCTGTCTGTTGCCATCCCTAAGTTGTATTTATGGCTAAGCTACTATCTAAGGATACCTGTAGCCATCCCTAAGTTGTATCTATGGCTAAGCTACTATCTAAAGCTGTCTCTTGCCATCCCTAAGTTGTATTTATGGCTAAGCTAATATCTAAGGCTGTCTGTCGACATCCCTAAGTTGTATCTATGGCTAAGCTACTATCTAAAGCTGTCTGTCGCCATCCCTAAGTTGTATTTATGGCTAAGCTACTATCTAAGGATACCTGTAGCCATTCCTAAATTGTATTTATGGCTAAGCTACTATCTAAGGCTGTCTGTCGCCATCCCTAAGTTGTATTTATGGCTAAGCTACTATCTAAGGCTGTCTGTCGCCATCCCTAAGTTGTATTTATGGCTAAGCTACTATCTAAAGCTGTCTGTCGCCACCCCTAAATTGTATTTATGGCTAAGCTACTATCTAAGGATATCTGTAGCCATCCCTAATTTTGAACTACTGACTAGATGGCCCCGACCATTCACGCTAAAAGATTGAATGTCAATCTTATAACGTACACACAGCTTTAAAATGCAGGGAGTGTTTCGTGGTGTCGCACGGATTCAAACCCGGCTTACCATAGGACGAATCCAAACCCTTCTAAATTATTAATATGGGATTACTTAAAAGTTATCTTCGCAGCCAAGAAAAACATCATCCATCCTGTGAAATAATACTTAAGTGAGTTTATCACGGGTTTGAGCCCATGTTTTTTTTTTCACATTCAAAACCCCTATTTTTTATCACAGAAAAAAAAACACGATAGTTAATTTAAACAGAGAATAACTTGAAAATAATTTAATAATAAGAAATTAGTTTGAGACAATGACTATTGTTTCAATTAAATAAGTGATCTTTTAAAGATATTTCGTTGTATTGTAACGAAAATTCTGTACTCTTTTTTTTTTTATGTTGTTGTCAAGAATAAATAAATTCAAAGCAACCATCTCGATTATATTTTAATCTTTTAATGCAACACAAAGAAAGTCGACACATACAATTATCATACATGATACAACTATAGGCTGGGTCGTAATAAATAGCTGGTGGAATCCATCTGTACAACATTTATTTCAGACAAAGCAGGCAGAACACAGCTATGTGAATGTCTTTCTACAATAATGCTGTAATTCGTCAGAATTTCTTCGCCTCTGGTATCGGTCTGCCATAATGTTCTGTCTCTCTGTTTTTGTTTTGTTTCACCCAGATCTACTTAGCGCAATAGACAATGTATTTTTTTTTACCTCTGATTACATAACACAAACGCGTAGGCGGGAAAGGTGTGACCAAACATACAACAATGGACATCTACCAATCACATACCTTTGGAGAATAATTTTATGTGAACGCCCAAGTTGGAACGTTTCACAACCGAACTAGATTAGGGGTAGTGGCTTTTCATTTTCTCGCTCAACCCTTGCGATTTTTTTTTTGTACTAGTATACTGGCAAGGCGTGTTTCGTTAATGTTATAGTTTCAGAACAATATTATATCAGAAAAACGCATGTTTTAATTCGTTTCCCAGACAGAGATATTACTCGGTAGTCTTCGTTATGTAATAGTTCAAACTTTTACTTCGACAATGACTCGGTTATAACACTAATTGTTTTCCTTCTTTGTTCAGTGTATTAATCATAGGAGAAGACTTCCCATATTGAGAGGTTGAGTTCAATAAGGGAGCTGCAGTGTCTTGAAGCTCCTGAGAGATACAGCTTCACCAGTTCTGGTGGTTAGAACACAAATATACCTTTGTCTAATAAATACTAAGGTTGAGACACAGCATGAACCTTTAGTTGTAGCATAATGCCACTAATAAACCACAACAAGTACCTTAAGCTGTAGCATAATGCCACTAATAAAACACAACAAGTACCTTTAGTTGTAGCATAATGCCACTAATAAACCACAACAAGTACCTTAAGTTGTAGCATAATGCCACTAATAAACCACGAGTACCTTAAGTTGTAGCATAATGCCACTAATAAACCACAAGTACCTTAAGTTGTAGCATAATGCCACTAATAAACCACAAGTACCTTAAGTTGTAGCATAATGCCACTAATAAACCACGAGTACCTTAAGTTGTAGCATAATGCTACTACTAAACCACGAGTACCTTAAGTTGTAGCATAATGCCACTAATAAACCACAAGTACCTTAAGTTGTAGCATAATGCCACTAATAAACCACAACAAGTACCTTAAGTTGTAGCATAATGCCACTAATAAACAACAAGTACCTTAAGTTGTAGCATAATGCCACTACTAAACCACGACAAGTACCTTAAATTGTGGCATAATGTCATCACTAAACCACGACAAGTACCGTAAGTTGTAGCATAATGTCATTACTAAACCACAAGTACCTTAAGTTGTAGCATAAACGTAGGTCCTAAGAAAAGTTAAATGAAACTAAACAGTGACCCGTAGAAAACCACAAGCTGGATATAAGAGCAGCTTATCACTAGCGAGGGTAAGAGTAAGTTTTACAACAAGACGTATCTATGACACTAACATTTCAATCAGTTTGGGCTGTAACCACGTGTAAAACAAGGTCGACGATTTTGTAAACACGTATAAAACAAGGTCGACGATTTTTTTTTTCTTTTACACATTAACTAATGGACCTTCAAAAAGGCAGGAAACCTTATTGGCATGCATGCCTTGTCCCCTTGTCATCATAACATTAGTGTGCTTCGCAGAGCAAGAGATAAGATTTTTCGACGTCCCCCAGCCCCCTTATTTCACCCACTTTCCCACTATAACATCCCTCATCTTTCGGCTTCCCATTCCTACAGCAGATAGCTGACTTGGTAGAAAAGTAGACATTAAGCACGTGCGCGTGCCAACCACCCTTTTTCCATCTCCAGTAGATGTGCCCTTATCTACCACAAGCTATGTGCCACTCCAAATACAGACATTTTCATTCACCGTTACACCAACTTGATGGAAGCGGCGTTGTTCGACGGACGGGAAGGAAATGGTTTGTCTTGTCCTTCCTTTTTTTATGTTCGCGTTTGCCGGGAAGTTAAATACACATCATAAAATGCGACTGTTACCTGTTTTGTTTTCCTAATCTTTCCACAAGAACACTAAAATGTCACACAGCAAGACCTTGTGGCAGAGAAATAATGATGGGAATAACGAAGAGTTTCTAGGAGCTGTTAATAACTTTGAAACTGAAAAAGCATTTTTTTCTTTTTTTGCATGCAGTGGGCTCGATACGCTAAAAGTACAATAACAATTCTAGGCTACGCCTTTCCAGAAAATGAATTTCTCAGGCTTAGTATTACTTATGAAACTTGTACAACAGAGATTACTTCCAAAAATTCCTTCTGCTTTTGTGCAATTCTCCAGAAAAAACAAAATAAAAAACTAAAGTGACTTATTTTTTTCTTTTCTTGAAATGGCATCAGACACGGTACACAGTAGTGTCCCAGCTTGCGATGTAGGTTATGATGAAGAACATAGAGAAATGACTGGTCCCTCTCCCACTAGAAATGGCATCAGACACAGTAACAGTAGTGTCCCAGCTTGCGATGTAGGTTATGATGAAGAACATAGAGAAATGACTGGTCTCTCTCCCACATGAAATGTAAAATAATTATGTGTTAACAAACGTTCCTGTTAACCTTAGCACACTTTAAAAATTAACTGCTTAATTGTACAGTTGGGAAATATACACATTTTCAGATTACGCCAAGACGATTTTAAAATAATTCAAATAAGGCCTCAAACAGTAAAAAGGCTTAAAAGAAAATATATTGACAGGCCCATTTTTGATGAGCTCAAACAACTTTGCAGTTCACGACGTTGGAGATGTTTGACAACTAATACAAAGCAGTTAATCTACAACAACTTCCATGATGTTGTTAGGCCTACTTTTAATGAACTCATGAAACTTTACCGTTTATGATGTAGGAGAAATTTGACAAGTAATGAACGGCAAGTAACTGACCCACGACGACTTTCAAGTGTTATTAGGCAATACATAGTAAAGTATCACACGATCATATTGCAAACAAACACGTTATGATGAGCGGTGACTAGTCCGACAACTGATAGTGTTGTTTACCATTATATCCATCCGCCTGAAAAAAAAAGGTCCGATCATTTCTGAAAAATCCCACTACACACCTATATCATTAGGCCACAGTCCAGTAAGCCAACGTGTTTCACGCCAACTCGTAAACGTGACAGCGGAAGGTTATGCAAACTAACAGTGACGGTTTCTAAGGGAAAACAGGCAAGATGGCGTCAAATATATTGCTTGATGCAGCTACTGTAGCGCCAGAAAGAATATGTTAGCTGTAGGTCTTATTAGTTTAAATCATTACTGGCTTCAGTTGTCCTCAAGGCTACAATAACACCATAGTTAAAAATTATTTTTAATTTCCATAACAACTCCCGTTTTCCATCACGTAAGTGAATGTTGGTCGCCACAGTTCGCGTTTAGGTTAAAATACTATGGCCTTGTTGAACACGAAACTAAAGACCGTTTTGTTCTCTTTGGTTTGAGCTAGTTTTGAGTTGTCTACATCAGATTTTAAAACAGACAGACACAGTTTGATATCTTTCTTTATACAGTCACTCGTGAAAGAGTGAGAACGGAATTACTATCTCCATCATTTCTCTCCGAGCCTACATTCGTGATGGACAATCATACAAAAGCAGAGTCTGGGTTGTCGAATGTGTCGCTACTGTCCTTTATCGGGCAATGTTATCAAAGTTTCCATGACTAGTTGCTCTTGTCGACGCTCCAAACCGTACACCATGTTTTCGATGTTTTTCAGTTCACACGAAACTTCTGCAGTAGTGCCACTTCCGTCAGAGTTGGAATGAGTAGAGGTTTCCTGTATTGGTGAACTTTGTGACGATGATGTCGTGGTGGTCTTAGACTTTAGATGTAGAAGAGATCGATGATGATGATGATGCGGAGGGCCGGTTTCGGCTAGACAGTGAGCACCGAGGGGAGATGGATTGGTGTGGGGGGCAGGATAAGGTGAAAATCGATGTTGGTGGCGGAGACGTGAATTAAATTCAGCTAGACCCTGGTAACTGTTGGCTAGCAGCGGATAAAGCTGGGCGATTGTATTAGAATTGGGCGGAAAGAATAACTGAGAATAGAGGGCAGGTGAGTACAAATAGGGCAAGAAATGAGTATGGGGCAAGCCCGGACCCATGGTGACGTTTGGTCCTGTTTGAGTAACAGCTTGTTTGTCATGTAAAAGAGAGAATCCCTCCTCACAAGGCTTGGGCTGCAGGCGATTATCAAAGGCAAAGGATTTGGTTGAAGATGACACGCTAGTACATCTACTGTCGTTATGATGATGATCTTCAGGCTTTGGAGTAGATGATAGTCGTTCAATTTCTTTATTACTATCATGTCGGGGACTAGCATCTGCAAAAAATAAATAAAATATAAACTTAACATTAACTTATAAAGTTTGATTAAATTCACCAAAATATCTGGCAATCATTTGGATATGTGTCACGATCCACCCAGCATTCTCTGAAAGATTTCTTTGTAGTTAAGCACAAAGCTACACACTGAGCTTTCTGCGCTCTGCCCACCAACGGTATCGAAACCCGGGCTCTAGCGTTGTAAGTCCGCAGACATACCGCTGGGCCACTAGGGGGCTCTCTGAAAGGAAACTAATAGCGTCGAGGTATATGCAAGATGTCAAAATATCGGGAATTTAAGAAAAGACATATTATGGGCTGTTGGAAATTAGGGTACTTGATACTAGAATTATTCCTGGTCACGTGTAATCTTCTGTGCACGAGAGAAGTCCGTTGTATTTGGAATTTGATAGTCCAAAATATGAAACTTTCATGTTCCCAAACATTATATTTAGTGTAATTTGTAAGTAAACAACTCAGTTGTTTCTTCACTAAAATGAATAATATATAAACTACTAAATAAACTAACCTTCTTCGATGCCTAAAGTAGCTGACGAAAGCGATGTTAACTCTGGTCTCATGTCTGCAGAGCCCCCTACGTCCAATCGTTCCTCATCATCGCTGGAATTATCAACATGCTCAGAACTTCCCTTGTTTCGGGCTGAATTACTTTCAGCTGCTGGTAACTGAGGCTGTGGTTGGTTCAACAGTATTTCGTGTCGCCTGGAGGGGGGAGAGTTTTGAGGGCTGAAATAAATAAATGCTATCATATGGTCCATTTATAAATTGATTCCCCCCCCCACTTGCTAGTTGTATATTATTGAAACAATTAGTCATTTTCATAGTTCAAGACGTTGATGAACTATACGTTAATTCAAATAAATAATATCGTTTAATAGTTCAAGATAACTGATCGAATGGTAAATTTATAATAATAATAACACTGATTTTGAGTATGTTACATATCGGTCTTTAGCAATATTATAGAATTATCGATTAAGCCATGGGCGTCCGCAGAAATCTTTTCAGGAAGGGGCAAAGGTTTTCCGGGGGGGGGGTGTACAAAGTAGTGTGAAAAGTGTGATTGTTTGTAATTAAGTACAAAGCTGTACAATGGGCTATCTTTGCTCTGCCCACTACGGGTATCGAAACCCGAATTCTAGCGTTGCAAGTCCGCAGACATACCGCTGTGCCACTGGGGGGGGGGGGGCGTGAAATTGTGAATTGAATAAAAAATTCATATATATATATGCTGAATGAGTAAATAAAGAATTGTGTTTCCCATTTTCCAGGGAGAGTAAGTGCCTCCTCTTGCCCCCCTGCGGACGCCCACGGATTAAGTGGTAAAAAAAGATTGTATTTAGCTTCACACGCATATTTCACTATAGATATAAAAAGGCAGTTGAAGACTGGCTTATTGAAAGTTACTGTTATTATATTGTATCAAACATAAAATCCACATTTAGGTATACTTTGGGAGTATTCCTATATCTATCTGACATCATAGGAGCTAAGCCTAACGTGTTGTTTTGTTTTGTTTTGTTACTCGGTTACTTAGACGCCAGAAGTGTTGTTGACGTCACACATTGAGTGCGTAGCTTAACGCCTGGAACTTTCTTGAAGGTTCAAGAATTGATTTGAAAGTATAAAAAATGTGATGTAGGCGAGAGTAGGTTGCTGGAATTGTTGATTGATTATTAAAGTCAGCTAGTTAGCTCAGTGCTGTAAATATTCAGTTTTTGTTTGCTTGTTTTGAATTTCGCGTAAAGTAACACGAGGGCTATCTGCGCTAGCCGTCCCTAATTTAGCAGTGTAAGACTAGAGGGAAGGCAGCTAGCTAGTCTTCACCATCCATCGCCAACTTTTGGCTACTCTTTTACCAACGAATAGTGGGATTGACCGTCACATTATAACGCCCTCACGGCTGATAGGGCGAGCATGTTTGGTGGTACGGGGATTCGAACCCACGACCCGCAGATTCTAGGGAACAATTTTTTGAGTGTTCAGGCCATTGCCACATTGCGAGTCGAGCGCCCTATCCACCTGGCCTTGTCGGGCGCTTTAGTTTTTGTGTTTTGAACAAAGTACTAGAGACACGAGAAGTACTGTTGGCGTACGAGAAAACTAATAAGTAGAATCTCTCTTAAAACCGAAGAAATGAAAAGCCTGCGTTATCCTTAAGTGGACTGGCCGTACATTCTCCCCCTCGCTTTATTTTAACGAATAATCCAAAACGAACTTGCCTGACAATGTGACAGTGCGTTCAGGTCAACTTTCAAACTTTGTTCTAAAACGTATGTGGGAATTTCTAAAATGAAACAAAGTGACACATAGCTAGGAATATGTTACCTGTCAAGCTAGCTTCTTCAGGGTGGTGGTGGTGGGGAGAATGTGTAAAGAATTTTAGAACAATTTCTGAATATTCAACAGTATCACATTTTAGCTTCTGTGTGAATCGCTATAAAGTTACTACAATCGCTATAAAGCTACTACAATCGTTATAAAGTTACTACAATCGCTATAAAGTTACTACAATCGCTATAAAAGCTACTACAATCGTTATAAAGTTACTACAATCGCTATAAAGTTACTACAATCACTATTAAGCTACTACAATCGTTATAAAGTTACTACAAACGTCCAAAAAAGACCCAAAACCCTGACGCATTCAAACAAACCCAACAAAAGAAATGAAAGTGTTCAAAGGTACGGGTTTGTATTTGGGTGTTCTATAAATTGTGTATAATAAGTGGGCAGCGTGATGTTCGATACCGACTAGGTGTCGTCTGTGTAAACAGGGTGAAAGCAGTTTGGAAACTAACTGTTTTCAGAGATCCCAAAGTGAACACTAACTAACTTACTCGCTGTGTTTGAATGAGCCATTCCAATTTGTCGCTTTTAATAGTTTTAAGGTACACTAGATGTCGCTGTGTGTGTAATATTACTTTTCGAAACTTCAAAATGATCAGGTTTACACGTAAATATCTCCAACACGAGTGGAAATAGTTGATATAAAAATTTCGTTGGACAAGATCTTGGTGAGCGCGGGAAAGGTCGCTCTTCCAATTCGGAAACAAAACCAAGTGAACAGTGTATCCGTAATTTTAGTATACGCTGATTGTGGGAAGTAAGTTCATATGTGGGTCAGAAAAACAAAAAAAAACAATTGGGTTAGTAGAAGAATTATAAGGTTAAAATATCCACTGGCCAGACTATTTCCTAACTCTGTCTTAAACGATTTCAAAACGTTTATTTTTGGAGAAAAGTTAGCTATATTTTGAAACATCAATCTTCCTGCTTTTTGTTTTTTAGTTGTTGCTATTGTACCAACTATAATATAAAAATCACACTCACAACAGCCATCATTCAAAACTAATCTATAAACTTTGATTAACGATGAAAAAGGAATCGAAAAGCTTTGGTATCTTTGGGAATCTATTAGTCCAATATTGTTATTAAACATCGTCCTTGACTAAAAGACTTCATACAAGACGTTATGCCCAATTTCGTCTCCACACACACACTGTTTTTCTATTGTTTCTTCTTCTCCCAAACCGCCATTCCTTCATTTCTCGGCGGATTGACTTGAAATTTGGTTCAACACGCCCAGATGTCTTTTTTATTTTTATTTTATTTAAGCCTTTTAAAGGATTTTACGGGGTAAAAGGTCACACAACTAAAACATTTATATTTTGGGCTTCTGTGCGGTTATATCTGCAGCAATCAATATGAAAATTGGCACAAATATTTCATGCGTCCAACACATTGACATAAAAAAAAAGAAGTTGTATTTGGCTACTTTGAGGCTTTCTAGGGGGGTCAGAGGTTACAAAAAGTATAATTTGGGGATTTGGGGTCAATTACTCGACCATATTTTAACTAATTTACATGGGATTTAGTACAAGGATAATATTTGTAGGTCCCAAACAGAGATATAGACAATTTTCAGATTTTTGTCTTTTGCTCAGTTTTTCAGCGAGTAAAACACAATTTGAGCTTTTCGTGAACTATTCATGTGTATGTGTCAACCAATTACATGTGTATGCCAACCAACTTACATGTGTATGTCAAACTAATACTTCCACAACTCTTCTGTTTAGGGTTATATGAACTAATACTTCTACAACGCTTCTGTTGAGGGTTATGTAAACTAATACTTCCACAACTCTTCTGTTTAGGGTTATGTAAACTAATACTTCCACAACTCGTCTATTTAGGGTTATGTAAACTAATACTTCCACAACTCTTCTGTTTAGGGTTATATAAACTAATACTTCCACAACTCGTCTGTTTAGGGTTATGTAAATTAATACTTCCACAACTCGTCTGTTTAGGGTTATATAAACTAATACTTCCACAACGCTTCTGTTTAGGGTTATTCAATCTAATACGTTCAAAACTTCTGTTTAGGGTTATGTAAGTTTGTGTACGAGATACACTTCATAAGCTCAGAGTTATACCGTATAGATAAAGGCAATAGAGAAGACTTGTGTGAAAACACGCGTTTTATCAACAAAATCATTTTTCAGCAATATTTTATCGTTTAGACTTCAATAAAACAAAATGTTCGATTCTCAGTGATTTGCCAGATCCTTTATCTATTGATTACATATATAAACAATATTCATGCGTGGGTGTGTATGTCCTGCTAATAAAGATATATTACATATTAATAAAACGTTTCTCACTTCTTTTCTCGCTTTCCCGCTCCACTGTCCCGAAATCCCTTTGCAAAAGGATTGTTGTCAATCTTTAGTTGGGTTATCTGTAAAATCACACAAGAAGGATTGTTGTCAATCTTTAGTTGGGTTATCTGTAAAATCACACAAGAAGGATTGTTGTCAATCTTTAGTTGGGTTATCTGTAAAATCACACAAGAAGGATTGTTGTCAATCTTAAGTTGGGTTATCTGTAAAATCACACAAGAAGGATTGTTGCCAATCTTTAGTTGGGTTATCTGTAAAATCACACAAGAAGGATTGTTGTCAATCTTTAGTTGGGTTATCTGTAAAATCACACAAGAAGTTCATTTGAAACAAAAATGGTATCTATGCTGATAAAGAAAAAAAAATCGTAAACATGTATGTTCTCCAACTGTCAACGTATTTCCAATCAAAATGAGGTGATCCTCTCTCTACGTGCTCAAAAAATCTTCACTGTAAGAGCTGGGCTGTTGATGGACATCATAAATCAATAAAGTATGAAACACATTTCACACGGTGAAAAATAAAATCACAAAGTTATAAGACTTAATTTCACAAAAAAACGTCATCAACAATTATCTAACTCTAGCATACCAATTCATAATGTCTAATACAGTCAGAAAGTAGGACTCCTTACTAATGAAGTTTTACTGTCCAGTACTGTCAGAAAACAGGGCTCATTACTAATGAAGTTTTACTATCCAGTACTGTCAGAAAGCAGAACTCCTTATTAACAAAGATTTACTGTCCAGTACTGTCAGAAAGCAGAACTCCTCATTAACAAAGATTTACTGTCTAGTACTGTCAGAAAGCAGAACTCCTTATTAACAAAGATTTACTGTCCAGTACTGTCAGAAAGCAGGACTCCATACTAATGCAGTTTTACTGTCCAGTACTGTCAGAAAGCAGAACTCCTCATTAACAAAGATTTACTGTCCAGTACTGTCAGAAAACAGGACTCCTTACTAATGTAGTTTTACTACATTAGATAAAATAAAAAAAAATGGCTTGAACGGCTTCCTAAGAATAAGAATACGGTGTCCAGTTTTGTATATTACAAACAGATGAACCAAACTGACTACATAACTCCATAATAAAAGAAGATGGATACTATTTAGTTTCACGAAAGTAAATAGAGTTTAAGGTTTCAGTTTCAACATTTACAAATACCTTTTCTCCAACCGAGAACAAGAACGGTTACGTCATACTCTGCTCATAATCAAAAGTAACACAATAAATAACTTCTAAAGTATACATATACAAGCTGGATTAAGTATTATTTGTCAAAAGAAGAACACGAGGTTGACAAAACCCCTGCAAGAAAATCGCAGTAAACGTAGTCACTTTTCTTAATGTGTCATTCTTCACCATTCTGATATGTTCGAAGTGACAAGCAAGCCAACTCGAGCTACTAAGCACGTGCGATTCGAGTAACTGGTTTGTTTATATACAAGTACCTCAAAAACTGGGACGTTTTATTAGGCTTCCGTGGAAAGACAAAGATAACACAAAGATTAAAGGTTCCCGTTGACAGACGAGGGGGAAAAAAATCTTTGTTTCGAGAAAATTGAACTCGTCTTGGGGGAGAAAAAACATTTAAGAGAAAAACGAGATGTTCAGAGACCAGATACATAAAATACTTGATTAAAAGCTTCGCGAAGGAGATAAATCAATGGAAACGACAACCTGCAAACGTATACATCTGGTGTGGACACCCTTCGATAGATGGTTTTGGAGTCAGAACTCGCGAAGTAAAAATATAAAAAAAACGCGTTTATAACAGAAACGAAGATGAACATAACGAGAACAAAGGGGAGTACAAAAGTGATGGCGTAAAAAAATGGGAGACATTTAATGGAGAAAAAAAAAAGTCAGCCATTATTTGTTTCGGATGTCCGTACTGAGTTAAGTAAGGGCCATTCTGCGCTAGTCGTCCCATATTTTCAACTGACCGGTTATAGTGAAGACAACTAGTCCACTGTAAACATTTTCTGAAGAAATAGTGGGATTTTCCGGACAGTTTTATAACTCACCCATGACCCCCAAAGTGTGAAGCGCGATCTTATGGCAATGGAACGCGAAACATGAACCGTCGGTCCACCATGCTAACCTCTAGGCCACGCTCGGTCCAAAACGTATATGTAAGATTGTGTACCTGTAATCTTGGGAATATGTATTTATATAAATATTTCCTCTGTTTCGATGGTAAAGGCGTAGAGTAAGCTAATATACAAAGTGTATGGCAACAAAGCCTGTAAACGACAAAAAAATACAATAAAACAGAAAGACACCAGAGGGAGAGAGAGAGATAATGGAAGAAGAAATCAAGCTGACGAAAAAGAACAAAAGAAGTAAAGAAAGAGTCAGATGAGGGACAGAGACAGATGGAGACATGACAAGCCGAAGTGGAAAGACAGAAGATAGAGATGGTGGTCTCTGATTTGTTCGCTATGAACAAAGACCAGTGCATCTAGTTAACCTGGTGTAGAGAGCAAGGAGGGAAGATGAGACTAGCACGTGAGCTTCTGTGTCTAGTTTTCTTTAGTTCTGCGTTTGATGCGTAGAGCGGAACACCCCTATCCAAAGTTCGGGTGAGCATCCATGTGTGATAAGCGTTGGTACCGCCTGCTGGGATGCGTATAGCGGCAGCCAACCGTAGCCTTCAGTACCCCAGCAGCCCTCTCGTTTCACGTGAAAATCCCCATAAAAAGGGTTATAACAAGTACTTCATAACAATTAATCAGAATAAATCACTCTCGTATATTTAACAGTAGCATATATGTACACGGGTTATAAGTTGGCCCACTAACCTTGCTTTTAGGTATACTTTTCTTATAAATTTTAGTTTGCCTTTGTTGAATTTGAGTCTATCAACTAGTAAACCCCACCCACCGCCAACTCTTCGGCTACTCTTTATCAACGAGTAGTGGGATTGACCGTCACAGCCGAAAAAGCGAACATGTTCGGTGACTGGTATCGAAACCGCGACCCAAAGATTGTTAGGTCGAGCACCTTAATCACTAGATCATGTCAGGCCTATAAATTCTGTAGAAGTGTTGATCAAGAAGCCCCCCAGTGGCACAGCGGTATGTCTGCGGACTTACAACGGTAGAATCCGGGTTTCGATACCCGTAGTGGGCAGAGCACAGATAGCCCATTGTGTAGCTTGGTGCTTAATTACAAACAAACAAACAATTGATAAAGAAAACCATCTCTCTCTCTCTATATATATATATATAATAGGAACAGATTTTGTAGATATGTAGCGACGTTTTTGTTCTTAAGACCGAGGAAATTTTCAGCATGAAATAAACTCCTGTGATGAAACCGTAAAAAAAAAAGAAACTATTAGATAACGTAAAATAATTTAAACTCCTGTGATGAAACCGTAAAAAAAAGAACCTATTAGATAACGTAAAATAATTTAAACTCCTGTGATGAAACCGTAAAAAAAAAAGAACCTATTAGATAACGTAAAATAATTTAAACTCCTGTGATGAAACCGTAAAAAAAAGAACCTATTAGATAACGTAAAATAATTATCTTCTTCTTCATATAAAACGGCCCCCCAGTGGTACAGCGGTATGTCTGCGGACTTACAACGCTAAATCCGGGTTTCGATACCCGTGGTGGGCAGAGCACAGATAGCCCATTGTGTAGCTTTGTGCTTAATAACAAACAAACATATAAAACGCAGAGTTACATAATGACGATCACAGCTCCATCTACCATGAAGGTTCTTTGCTGTAACATATTTCGTTTCTTGCAAGTTCTTACTGCGGTCGCTGGACGGGTCGGTGCAAAAGGACAAGTCGGTTCTTCCTCGCCCCTCGTAAATGAGCCGTGGACGGCAAGATCGGGGCGAGACAACACTTACACGTGGCGTTTATCTTGCTGTCGTGTTGACCCTAATATGGCGGGTGGTGACAAAGACGGTACACATTTCTAACCTGACTCTCCAGCGGTAGGGCGAATGAAGGTACACAGAACATCGTCCGACAGCCTAATTAGCTGTCTCGGTACACTATCTGTCACTCTTCAGCTTTCCATGTGGTGAAAAGTAATTATAAGCAAGGACAACTATACCCGTAAAACAGAAGAAAAGATTAACATCAAACAGACAAAAAAAAAAAGAGACGTTATTGAATAGAGAAAAGAGATAGGAGGGGGGAGGGATTATATGGCTACTCCTCAGAAAAATAAGTGAGTAGAGAAATATTCTTATGGGTGTGTGTGGAAAAACAAGATTAAATAGAAAACAGAGACGTACATTCAAGCAACGAAAACGGTTTGTCAATCTTTGGAAGGTATAAAATATTGGAACTAAATTAAACCAATATACGTTTCTAAAGCATATAGCAACAAGCAAGAAAAAACAAACTACATCATAGCTGTTCACCTGTTTTACTGAAAACTTCACATGGAAACTAAGTCACGTTCTCAACCCTACCAACACAAGTCGTTACGTGTATAAAACTTCAACGTTTCTTACTCTAGACACGATACAACACAAGTTGTTATGTGTACAAAACGAAAAGAGTTTGTACTTTATAGGTAGTAACGAGGGACGTTTCAAACGAAGAGAGTTTGTACTTTAGTAGTAACGAGGGACGTTTCAAACGAAAAGAGTTTGTACCTTAGGTAGTAACGAGGAACGTTTCAAACGAAAACAGTTTGTACTTTACGTAGTAACGAGGGACGTTTCAAACGAAAACAGTTTGTACCTTAGGTAGTAACGAGGGACGTTTCAAATGAAAAGAGTTTGTACTTTAAGTAGTAACGAGGGACGTTTCAAATGAAAATAGTTTGTACTTTAAGTAGTAACGAGGGACGTTTCAAATGAAAATAGTTTGTACTTTAAGTAGTAACGAGGGACGTTTCAAACGAAAATAGTTTGTACTTTATAGATAGTAACGAGGGACGTTTCAAACGAAAAGTTTGTACTTTAGGTAGTAACGAGGGAGGGACGTTTCAAACGAAAAGAGTTTGTAGTTTAGGTAGTAACGAGGGACGTTTCAAACGAAATAGTTCGCCCAATCAGAAATTCACAGGAACAGGCATAAAGACCAATCCCACTATCGTATACGTTCACTGCTGTACTCATCTACTTAAACATTAACAAGTCAACCCCCCAAAAAAATTCCTTGCAAGCTCAGTTATATAGGCTTATCGCACCAGAAAATTAATTAAGAACTAAGTCTTTTCACTTTAGTTTTCCGATCATATTTTCCTTAACTATAACTAAGCCTTTTCACTTTAGTTTTCCGATCATATTTCCTTAACTATAACTAAGCCTTTTCACTTTAGTTTTCCGATAATATTTCCTTAACTATAACTAAGCCTTTTCACTTTAGTTTTCCGATAATATTTCCTTAACTATAACTAAGCCTTTTCACTTTAGTTTTCCGATCATATTTTCCTTAACTATAACTAAGCCTTTTTAATGAACTATATTCAGAATTCTGTTAGTCTTGAAAAACTACGTTTTCATATTACTTTTTATACTTTTTTCTTCTAATTTGTAAGCCTTAATCAGAAATTAACTTGTTGACATTAATTAGCTAACACGGTCTCTATGTTGCTGTTGTTTTTATTGTACTTGGAGTTGTTCGGTGCAGCATAAGTTTGGACTTCCTATAGATAGCTGTTAGATATTGTTTGGTCTTCCTATACATAGCTGAAAAATATTGTTTGGTCTTCCTATACATAGCTGTAAGATATTGTTTGGTCTTCCTACACATAGCTGTTAGATATTGTTTGGTCTTTCTATACATAGCTGTTAGATATTGTTTGGTCTTCCTATACATAGCTGTTAGATATTGTTTGGACTTCCTATAGATAGCTGTTAGATATTGTTTGGTCTTCCTATACATAGCTGTTAGATATTATTTAGTCTTCCTATACATAGCTGTTAGATATTGTTTGGTCTTCCTATACATAGCTGTAAGATATTGTTTGATCTTCTATACAT